CCAGATGTGTTTATTTGGAAGCAACTGGGTTATATGCCCCATATTGGGCAGAACGGGGGGGGGGGCGGCAGGAGGGCTGGAGGTAGGAAGTTTGGATCAAGACAAATAAGGGTTTACATTTTTGCCTGCCTGAGTCCCTCTCAAATTTGCATCTGCTACGTCTGTTTACATTTCTGTTGCTTCCAGCAGACATCGCGTGTGCCTCAAGGTCAGACGTCTCAGCGGCGTGCATTGCTTTACCACCCGCTCCCCCCTCTCTCCTTCCGCGCCTAGGACCAGCCCTGCTACACAGCAGGCGCTCTACAGGATATCTGGTTAGTAAGAGATTGTTTGAATGAACAATCGAATGAATGTTAGGAAAGAAACAAGCCCAGCAGATTTTTAAACCAAATCTGTTTAACTGTATCCTGAGTGAGCAGAGAAACGTAGAAATGCGGAGAGAGGAGAGAGAGCTTGCGAGCTGTAGACAGCAGAGCTACGATTGCTAGACAGACAGCCTCATCAGAGCCAGCCGGGGCCCCACCTGACTCCCTACTGCAGCTGCAAAAAAAAAAAAAGGGACTGGGCGGTTCAGCGGGAGCAGGGTCCCCTTGTCCTGCAGCTGCTCAGTCCCCACCGCCGCCCGCTCCCACTGCTGGGTCGGGCGGCGTGGACGCTGTGGGGATCGGGGCAGCCCGAGTCGGGCTTCCCAGAGCGAGGCGGGATGGCGTGAGCTCCGACGCCCTGCGACTGCTGGGCCCCCGGTGGCGACACCCGGTGCATTCACAAAGACTGGCGTGCGGACGGGCTGGCGGCGCGCCAAGTCGCAGGAGCCGGGAAGGAGGCGGAGACGCACACAGACGAGCCCCCGGATCTCAGCGCCGCGGGGGCTCGAGGGGTCTCCATCCGCGCCCCTCCCTCTACCGCTGAGTTTTGGGGGGTAGGGAGCCCCCTCCAGAAACACTTGCTCTGTCAAGCCTGTGAGCCGGGGGGTGGGGGTGGGGGCCGAAGTTCGGCGGACTCGTCACGTCACGTGACGGGGGCCCTGGGTCACGTGACGAGTCCGGTGATGTTGGAGGCGGCATGTGACTCTCGGGGCTACGTGGGCTCGAAAACAATTTAAATACAAAAACACGAGCCAGCTCCCCTCCTGTCCTCTGCCCGTTGGTCTGGCTCTCCCCGCCTTGGGGCTGGAGCCTGGCCGAATGGAAAGCCGGGGGTCTTGCGTCCGCTAACCTGTGAGCGCTGGGTACCCCGAGACCTGGCCCCTCTGCTGGGGGTCCCCCAGGAGCCGTGCCCCGTCATCCTGCAGCCCGCTGACTTCCAGTCCGGTGAGTGACGACACTTGGAGCAATGAGCAGTGACGCTGCCCTGGACGCCGCGCACAGGGCGCCCCGGTGGGGGGCGCTGGGGAGGGGGGGCCGCCGCCGTGCGCGGGCTCCTGCGCCCGCTCGTCCCGCGGGTCCCAGCGGCCTCGCTCGCGGCGCGCCCTCTGCACCCCCGCCTTATTTCTCTTTCTTCGCCCCCCACTTTCCCTCTCTCACTGCTTTTCTTACAAGTTTCTCCCGCCTTCGCCTTTACAATTATTATTTTTTGGACACCTAGATCTTCCTGTTCTTTCCGCCCAGAACCTGAGCACTTGGGGGGCTGAACTTGTACTAACGACCCCTCGGGAGACACTCCTCCCGCAGAGGCCGCTGCAGGTGGCCCAGGTCCGGGGTGCGCGCGCGCACGTGTTGGGGCTGATTGACACACGTCTTGGGCCGTCAGATCTGTTTCTTGGGTGGATGTTTGTTGGCTCTCGATCCAGCTGAGCTAGGGGACCATCGAGTACAGGAGGGGCAGTGACAGCAGTTGGGGACAAGGCTCTCTGACCCCAAATGTCTGACTCTCCATGGGAGACAGCCGAAGGCAGCGTGCAGCCCTCGGTGCTCCGGGGCTCGCCCCGGGTGTCACTTGGTGTCAGAGAGCTGGCTCAGAGTCGGGGCCACGCGTTGGCAGCATGAGGCTGAGCGGTGGCTGAGGAGCTGGCCATGGGGAAGACGCCTGCAGAGGTGATGACGGCAGTGTCCACAGCCACGCAGCAAGGACTCTGTGGGCTGCCCCACGCGTCTGGTCCTGTTATCCACGAATGCGGCCATTGCTCGGCAAGAAACAATCAGCAATTACTGAGCACAAGGCGCCCGACAGCTCGACCGGTAGGTGCTGTTTTTATCCCCATGTTAGAGGTGAGGACACTGAGGCACAAAGCAGGTCGTACGTGACAGATTGAGAGTTGGGGCTCAGGCAGCTCTGAAACATATCACCCCCCAGACAGTATGTTATTTCAAATTGGGGTGTTTGCTATGGAGGAAATAGTAGATGCCATGAGAATATATAACCGGAGACATACTTCTTTTGGGGCCCCAGGGGGAGAGCTGGTCAAAGGAGTCCCCTGTGCTGATGTCATATTTAAGCTATGACCTCAGACTCCGCCAGGTGAAAAGCCAGGAAGAACATTCCAGACAGAGGGAATGGCATGTGTGGGGGCCGTGAGGTGGGAACGAGTTTGGGGCCACTTGAGGCCCAGCCACCGTGGTGACAGGCTGAGCATCTCAGATTCTGTGGGTGCCTGTAGGTCTTACTAAGTGACTCACTTGGGTTCTCACCCCAGGATCAGTGGGCAACGATGAAAGCCTTTTAAGTGGGAAGTAGCACAACTAGACCTGCACTGTGAAAAGACTTCTAGGGGTGTATCCGCCTGTCCTGGCGGCATTGCAGACCACCCCAAACCAGGGGCTGGAAATGGCAGGCGCCTGTAGCTCATTATGCTGGCAGCTGGCTGGCAGGGCGGTGCCTCTGCTCTGCCCAGGGTCCCTCCTGCGGCTGGTCAGCTGGCGGCCGGCTGCAGGTGGGTGGTCTGAGGTGGTCTCCCTCATGTGTGTCTGATGGGCAGGCACCATTGAAATTGACCAGGGCATGTGTCTCCCTATGGAGTCAGCGAGCCCAGTCTTCTTCATATGGTGGCTGGTTCCAAAAGTGGCAAGACAGGGGTTGCCCCAATGTATAAACACGTTTCTAGCAGCCGCATCCGTCGTTGGCTAGTGTTCCATTGGCCTAGACAAGTCACATGGTCGAGGGATGGAGAATTATGCCTCTTAACCTGGGAGCTCCAAAATATTGTGTCTGTTTGTGTCCAGCCTGTTACGTGAAATCAAAATGACGAGCTGGAGCCAGTGTTGCTATGATTGGAGATGAACTGAGACTTGGCCATGTGTCAGACTCTGTTTTCTGCTTAGAGCACGTGGGAGCCTGAGCACTGGTTTAGGATGTGGCTCAGGAGGGTGCCTAGAATGTGGTGTAGAAATGTCCCCTTCTCTTCTCACAGGGTGACCTGGGAATGACGGAGTCCAAGAAGACTCGTGGGATTGTGACTCTGGAATGAAATGTGGGCCACGTGGGACTCAGGATGGGTTTAGGGTCCCAGACGAGGCAACAGCATGTGCAAAGGGCCTGAGGGAAGGACGTAGGTGGTGTGTTAGGGAACCAGGAGGCACTTTTGCTTCATGTGATTATTGTGGGGATGGCATGGGAGTGGACAATTAGAAACCTGTTTTAAGAGATAGAGATAACAAGCCAAGCTGTGGCTTTGATAGGAGCTGAAGAAAAATGGCATCCTCAAGAATCCCCTTAGGTTAGCGATACTCTTTCCTAAGGAGAAGATGACAACATGCTTTGGGTGATGGTGGCAGGGGGACAGGAGAGAGCAGGGAAAGAGTCAAGCATCCTATGAGCTGGGTCAAATGTGGCCGAGACACAGAGGACACTGAAGGCGGGAAAGTGTCTGTTGGACTTGGCAACGTGGAGGTAGCTGAAGACCTTGATGCGAGCAATTCTGGTGAGGTGGTGAGGATGGGAACCAGGTGGGCGCGGGTTCAGGAGAGAATGAGGGTAAATAAGCCGTGACCGGCATAACAGAAACCAGGCAGTGCCGGGGGAGGAGTCGGGCAACTGTCTGCTTTTACGTTTGCTGTAAAACAACACAGTAACAGGATCCTCTCGATCAGCGGTTCTCAACCTTCCTAATGCCACTACCCCTTAATACAGTTCCTCGTGTCATGGTGACCCCCAACTATAAAATTATTTTCGTTGCTACTCTATAACTGTAGTTTTACTACTGTTATGAATCGTAATGTAAATATCTTTTTGTTTTCCGATGGTCTTAGGCGACCCCTGTGAAAGGGTCATTTGACCCCCAAAGGGGTCGTGACCC